CAATTTGAAACCATCTACCTCCAAGGATAATTCTCACCAAGTAAAAATAATTTCCTACAGAAAGTTGTCAAAATATACCCAAAAGTGTTATTTCCCTATATAAACTATAGTAAACTTTACCCCCTCCCCAAGGGAGAACGGATAGCTCGGGGGTCCTGAAATTTACAATTTAAGTAAAGCCCCTGATGATCTTTCTTTCCACATAGAGAAAATCACTGTAGTACCTCTGAGTCTGGAGAAGAAGATTTTTGAAATATTGATTAATTTTCCCTTTGGGGCCCCGCCCTGGCCCCAGGGGTTGGGGTAGGAATCCCAATTTTACAATTTTGAAGCCTCATCTACCAAGGATGATTAAAAAAAATCCATCCACTGGTTCTTGAGAAGAAGCTGAAAATGTAAAAGTTTACGCACGACGGACGACGGATGACGGACGACGACGGACGAAAAGCGATTAGAATAGGTCACTTGAGCAAAGCTCAGGTGACCTAAAAAATAAACCTGACCTACCTACCTTAGTTTTTTTGCCAATGCAACCCTAAACAGACTATATATTTTTTTTGGCCTAAGCAAGCTTGCAATTTGATGAAAATGGATCTTAATATGATGTATAACTACAGAAATGGAGCTTAGCATAAACTTTAACAAAAGTCTAGGAAGTGGAATATACAGGACACAGCGATCTACATTGCAGTAGTCCTCACCTAGGAAGTGGAATATACAGAACACAGCGATCTACATTGTAGTAGTCCTCACCTAGGAAGTGGAATATACAGGACACAACGATCTACATTGCAGTAGTCCTCAAGGTATATCCACATATAAAGTTTGATGACTACTCTACTAATATAAGACTGATGAAGACAAACACAGTCTAACCAAAATGTCACACAGACCAAAAGAAAAAGCAAACACTGACTGATCCCTCCAATACCTTGTGAGGGTATTAAAACATAAAGACATGTACTATTTTATAATTGTGAATTTAATCTAAATACATCCCAATATTACAAACTTTATCATTTTAATGATAAAAACATTACTGATCATATCAATATCATAATAAAGCTTTTATATTTGAGAAAAAATAGTAAGTGTAATAAGTGTTCTTACCATTCGGGTTCTTAACACCTGCGAAAATATTGGGCTGCAGCTTATAGGACAGACGCAACTCCTCCAGGAAGAAGCTGTCGCTATCAGAAAGTTGACTTGCACTTCCACCACCATTGAATATCATTTCCATTGACCAATCTTCATAGAATACCACATTCAGCATCTGAGTGACGTTTCCACAGGTCCCTGTGGCCGTGTAGTTTTTCGGTATTCCAACAGTGACACTAGTGCTCTGGAATACACCAACACCAAACAATGGTATTTCTCCATATGTTCAATTGATAGCAGAAGCTTATCAAATACTCATTTAAGTTTTCTAATATTACTATAACATTTTTAATTGCTGACTGTGATATTTCTATGTTTTTTCCCAAAAACCTTAGGCCTATATAACTGCTAAAATATATTCATGTACATTTTTGTATGTACAAACACTTTGACATATCAAGAAAAAAATGTATTGGAGCAACTACCATCACAGCAAGAAAACAGTAAAACTGGAATAAACATTATTTGTTACATTTGAACATTTGACCTTCAAACTGAATGACAGTCCAACCTTGAATACTCAGACTCAAAATGGTATGTAACACAATATGCCTTGCAATGATACATATCCTTCATAAGTCAGAAGTTATGGCCAAGAATATGAACTTCATATTTGACCTCAATATGGCCTTGACCTTGGGTGAATAGACCCAAAAGTGGCATGCCGTGAGTACACTGCCTTTCAATCCCACATATATCACTCACATTTCATCAAGTTCTCTTCAGAAAGTAAGAAGTTATCACCAGAAAAATTACTTTGACTAATGACCGAAATATTACAACCGTTGTTTCCTAATTATGACAAATGTGGAATGCCACCAAACTGTTTTTTAAACAAATTTCTCCATGTATAATAAACAGCAGTGGGCGTGATGTCTACCATAACATGTATGTGATTCACCACTCTGCACCCGTGTAACAAACAGCAGTGGGCGTGATGTCTACCATAACATGTATGTGTTTCAGCACTGCCAACCTGTGTAATAACCATATGTGGGAGTGATATCATGTGTTTCTAGCTTCTGTATGGTAAACAAAAATCTTGTGGATTTTTTTTCTATACGCAGGAAAGCCTATGAGATACAATTCCTTTCATCTGTTAAGATATTTTTCTCACATTATATCAAGTTAAGTCATTCTATAAGATTATTAGCTCACAGTATTATCACTCTTGGTGTAGGGGATCACAAACTCCAGCCCAGCATCGAGGACAATACAGTTTCCAGGGACGGTATATTTATTTACTGGTGGAGATCCTGGGGCAGGGGTGACAGGTGCAGGTGTCGTAACTGGGGGCTCAGTCGTCACTGGTTTGTCTGCTGCACATTCCTCACCTGTAACCAATCAAGCACAAAATTTAATAAAATTGAGTGGATGATGATATGCATATAGTACAACAAAAGAAGAATATCCCTTTTTGAATAATCTATATAATGAATGATACAATATCTCCTACTGAAAACCATTCTTACTGAACAAAATTTTTCAAAATTTTAATTTTATACTAATTATTGAAACTATTCCCTAATTGATAAAAATCCTACATGTATACATTTCTATTTTATTTAACTGATATTCCTTGATATATTTCTTTTTTATTTAACTGATATTCCTAGATATATTTCTTTCTTATTTAACTGATGACTAACCGATATAATCCCTATACTTACAATAATGTTAGAGTTATCTCCCATACATACCAGGCATATCTGCCTCTACATTAATTTTGGCAGTCTTTTCCTTTTCAAGAGAAATAACAATTCTGAGATGGCAGCAATCATGTTATTAGCATAAAGCATAAACAACACCAGGTATGTCAAAAAATGATTTCAATTTTTCTCTAATGGGAAACCAAATTTTAAAATAAGACTTTAATTTTGAGAATACCCCTGTCAACATTTATACGCCTGTTAGCCAGAGAATAAGCTGGGTCTGCTGAATTTGCAGCATATTACTAGACATGTATGTTTTGATTAATGAATCTCAGCAATGAAGCTGAAGGCAAAAGTGTCGAAAATGAGACCAGTGGCTGTTCTTTATTTATTCTCCCTAGTGAAGGAGGGACAACTAAAATTAGACCTGCACTGTACTTACGTATTCCAGGGAAGCTGTACTGTATCTATACTCCTCAGAGAAGTAGGAGCTATCATCTCATTCACCCCTGAAGACACATTTGAACTCTTCCCATTCAAAGGTTGGAATAGTTCATTATCAAATTTCAAAATTGAATGAGCTGTACTATACTTACGCTCTCCAGTAAAGGAGGTTCCATTAACATTGAAAGCTTGGATGGCCACATCAGACATGGACAGTTTGCTGGTACCTAGGGGTACATCCACATTGGCTTTACATTTGTAGTAACCAGTGGGTTTGGACAGTGGAATAGAAGTGGGGAAATCTGCTTTCATGTCCGCTACAAAACAAGAAGGATGCTTTAAATGACTTTAACTTCTGCGAGTCTCTGTTTCACATCCGTTTTAGTGGAAATTGTTCATGTCTTTCGTTTGTTTTGATTTCTGTTGTACTCTTATATAAATATCCAGAAAACAATAGTTTCTGACCATAGCCATGTTTTCAGCGACCCCATATTTAATTTGAGGGCATTATGTCTATTGTCCTAATAACTTTTTCAATGAACCTCCTGTGATGTCATGTTTGAAAAGTCGTATTACACCAGTTAAATTTAATGATTAGAGGTCAAGAAGTCTTAATAGCTCACCTGGTCTTTCATTTTATGATAATTCAAAATATAGATGTCGAATGCAGCACATGTATGTCAAAAAAGTATGAAGAAAGCCATCCTTAAAATATTGTTTGTTTTACATCTTAAAAGTCATCACAATAGTTACATTTAACAACAAGAGGTCCAGGAGCTTTAACCCTTTCACCACTGTAGACCAAAATGGACTCATCCAGATAAATGCATGGTAGAGTCTACTAAAGTTACATAGTGGTGAAAGGGTTAATAGCTCTCTTGGTCTTCAATTTGAAATATGTTATATCATAAATTGTATGATAGGGCCATCCTTTAAAGACTGTTCATTTGCAGTTTCCCAACTGACTCATTTAAACTGGCACCTGATCAAACTTCCTTTTGGGACTTTAAATATTATTTTTCATTATTAAAAAAAGCGGTTAAATTTCAAATGGAGAAAAGTATTGAGAAAGCATTTTTCCTAGAAAACCTTTGGATATTGCAGCTTTGATAGGCAGAGAGTTTATCAGTGTTGTGATATGACAATTGTATAACGTTATGTACCATCTTTTGACTCTGGGAAGGTGGTGTTGTCTAGGTCCACATCCAGGGAGATGGTACTGATATCAACTATATCATTACTGGAGCTGAATGACATGCGCACCATCCTCATGGCTCCAGAACCTCCCCACGTCATACTAATTTCAGACTTCATACCCTCTGGACAACTTCCGTTCACCTTTGCATCAGCAGGAATTTTCAAGGGCACATTACTCTGTCAAAAGATATAAACATGGAGTTTCTCTACGTTTTATAAAACATCCTGCATTTTATTTAACATCCTGTATTTTATTTATTTTCAAATATTGGTAAATTGTTGAATGTTTTCCACACATTCTTATTTTAACTCATTCACCGATAAAGACAATTTAAATTCCAATTCAAAGGTAAGAATAGTTCATTATGAAATTTGTGGGGTGAATGAGTAAAAAAACATTTTACTCATACATTACTACTTTAAACATGATGTATTGTTTTTGGTGTCGAGTGGGTTGGTTGTGTTTTATTTTGTTAAGCGTCCTATTAACGGCTAAGGTAATTTAAGGACTCGGTATCGAGTAAGAGGTATAAATAAGACATCATGAGTGATGGAAATCCCCTCACATGAACATTGTGACATATGTAAGAGGAAATGAAGTCGCTAGAGCGATGACAAAAGTTTTTTCTAAAAATAGTAACAGTGACCTTGACCTTCAATGTAGAAGCCTGAAAAAGAGTACTTGTTCAAGGCATTGCCATACCAAACACTTGTATAATGTTTTATGATATTCCATTGAGTAATGAAGTCACTAGAGTGTTGACAAAAGTTTTTCTAAAAATAGTAACAGTGACCTTGACCTTCAATGTAGAAACCTGAAAGGAGTACTTGTTCAAGGCATTGCCATACCAAACACTTGTAAGAAGTTTCATGAAATTCCTTTTAGGAATGAAGTCACTAGAGCGTAACATATGTACATATGTGCGGAATCCTATATCCCCTCGAACTTTCGTTGCGAGGGGCTAATAAGTGGGTACTTACTGTGGTATTGTCCATTTTTGTGTATGTCACACTTATCTCGAAATCGCCTGCGACAATAATACAGGGGTCGGTTTTGTTGGGGTAGTAGTACATGGAAGCAGCAGATGGAGGAGCTGTGGTAGGGGCTTCTGTTGTTGGTTTCTCCGTTGTTGGTTTCTCAGTGGTCACATTTGGAGCGGCAGAAGTAACTGGTACTTCCGTAGTGGCTGTAGAGTTACTGGTATCAGCTTCACAAGGTGTACCTATTAAGTCAATCATTTTGATACTGTAGCAGCAGATATATAAATAGATGGACATTGAAAAAATATGTCCAATACAATGCAAGCATCGATATTTGATTTCTTATAATAGAGCTACCATCAACAGTGATATATTGAGGTGTAGCTGTAGTGGTGAAGACGAGCATTCTTGACATTGTAGTAGCAGGAATTATCTAAATATCCTCATATCATGATGTGATAGAAGAGTAAAGTGAACTTTCTACAGGTAACTTACCTGTAGGGATAAATTGTTTAATTTTCATGCAAAACTGGTAAAAAGATTGTTTTAACTATCTTTAGAAAGATTTGGAAAGAGTTAAAAAAAAGTTGAAAGGGCCTGTATTAATCACCCAAATATTTAAGCAATCAGATCAAATATTCTCAAGGGGTATGGCCGGAGTCACCCGAATATTTAAGCAATCAGATCAAATATTCTCAAAGGGTATGGCCGGAGTCCAGGGTTACTCCTTGTAATATGGTTGTGGTTGTTTCTTTAAGCACCAAATACCATATAGTGTTAGAGAGTGTGAAAAGTTATGACAGAAGGACAAACATCTAAGAGGCCGATGGGACTACAGGGGGTAATAAGCGAAGTGGGTATACCTTGATGTCAAATAAGTGTATAAATGGTTAAAGGGTGGAAATCTATCAATCCCCACAGCAGGACCAGACAAGGTCAATTCTTGCAGCATACGTTGCTATTGTGATTGTTTCTTCAGTGTGTTATTGGCAAAGCTGTCAAAACCTCTGTGAAATATTCCATCATTTCTGACTTATTTCTACATGACAGACAAGACTATATGAAAATGTGAACTTACTAAAGGACCAAATATATCAACAATCATTATATACTGAAATCCTTTTTTCGCAATATGCTTTTGCTTTCGGATTGTAGCACAAAACATATCACATCTTGTGTACTCAGCTCTAGAAGTTTGTTATACCTACAAAGCACATAATGCTACATTTTCATGATATTCGGTTCAGAAAAATATTTCAATTACTTATTGAAAGCCTTAATTGTCTTATCATACCTTCGCTGAAATCGCCGTTGGTGATGCCGAAGGCCTGGATCTGTGTCTTATCAACCTGCATATCCAATTGATAAGTGTTGTTAGCAGTCGCGGTGTTGAACATCAGTCGGAGGGGGCTGATGCAAGTGAAGGACTTATCATCAGCAGACAATGCAAGAGTCGAAGCCATGGTCAAAGTAGCAGCTGAAATGATAAAATGTATTATAGCAATACATGTTTATGATAAACTTATAGTTCCTGTTTCTAAGAAATAAGCAAAACTCCAAATACCTCTGCTTACCCTATTAGGAGAGTTCACAATATAATCAGTAAATGACTTATGGACACAGAAATGGTTTCAAGGGTAAAAAGAGGGTAATTCATGAATTGTAGTTTATGACACAACTATTAAGGTAAATTAAATTATACTAAGATTATATTAAGTACTGCACAAAAAAATTGTAGAAGTGATAATATTTACCTACATTCATTAAGTCTGGTTGTAAGCCTTTTAGATTAGTGATAAAAAAATATTTATACCAAGAGTGACCTTGACATTTGAGCAAATGCTTGGAAACACAAACTTATAACTAAGATATCAAAGTAATGATCATTTGTAACAATTCTTGTGAGGATACAATAATTATAGCTTTAGCCTTCTAAATTACCGACAATCATTCATTGACGGAATACAATAAATTTAGCCACTGAAATTACAGTAAAAATAGATAATGTTAGTAAGACATGCCCCTTCAGCAATCATCAAATAAGTGCTTACTGCTTAGACTATATAATATGGTGACCGACTTTGGTACCCTGAATATGATCTTATTCATATATTGTTTAAATTGTTTTACGAATACTAATGATATTATGTCTTTCGTTATAATAATTACATAGAACTGTACATTTTGGTGAAAATCTGCTAAGAAATGAAGCCACTGCAGTGGTAACAAAAACATGTTCTATTCGGGTTAAAGGGACTTTGGCCTTGATCATAACCTTAAACACCAGCTCATCATTCTCATGATTGATCTTATTTGTAGTAGTAGTAGTAGAAGGCCTTATTTCTTATAATCAAGAAGAAGCTACCAATATTATTCTTACTTGTGTTTCCGAATTCTGGTTTTTCAAACACGTTGAAGGGGACAAAGGTCAAGGTACCATCCATAGTGACCTTGTTGCTGTCCGTGATGAAGGTCAGTGACATGGTTATACCCTTATCAAAATCCACATTCAGAATACCTATACCACCATTAGTTGCACACTTGGATTTATTATTCACTACACCTGTAGTCCAATCAATTGAGTGCTGAAACAAAACAGACTTATTAATTTACCTGTTTATACATTTTCTGGGTTAAAATAAATACCCTACAAGATTTCCAGGCAATATAGATTGATTTTTTTCATCTAAAAAGTTTTTAAAAAACCAAGAGGCCCTGGGGCCTTAATAGCTCACCTGGTATTTTACTTTTAATTTAAAACCTGCTGAGTACCACACAGGTTTATTTAAGGAGTACAAGTAGTATGAGTTGCAAAAAGAACTACATGAAAATCTATTCCCACAATTAGGCCCAGCCCTCTTCCCCAAGGCGGTCACATCCTCCATCATGTATACACAATTTAGTCCTTTTGCCTATAGTCCTTTTGCCTATACATGTAGATGATCTATAACAAATTTGGTGACAATCCCGCTATTCACACAGAAAGGTTATGTTTTTAAAAGATTTCTCTTTATTTCCCCTATTGGGCCCCTACCCAGGGGAGAGTAAACACTCTTTTATAAAATTGAATCCCCTAGCCCTTCATTGGTAAAAAGGAAAGATTTTTTTATTTTTTTCCTCTCTTTCCCAGAATGGGCCTCAGATACACCCTTCTGCCGGAAAGGGGGGCCACAGCCTCTGTTTATACAAATCGCATCTTTTTACCCTATGCATGCTTCAGATCATACTTTGTTTAAATCCCTTCATATGTACAGGAGGGGAGAAAGTTTTTCTATTTCCTCTATTGGGCCCTGCCCCTCTGCCTCCAACAGAGCCGCACCCTCCGTATATATATATATACATATATATATATGAATCCGCCTGAAGAAGCCCTACACTGGTGATTAGAAAAGGAGTAAAATACTCAGAACTGAGCAAAANCTTCAAGCTCCTTTAAATTTGTTCCAAGATGCTCTAGAACAAATTAGTAGATCGAAATCCTTTTCTATTGCTTAAAAAGGGAATATTTTTAATGATTTACCATTCCAAAGATGATCTAGAACAAGTTAGGTTGAAATATCTTATCAGTTCAAAAGGAGAAGGATTTTCCATTGTTTCCTCTATTTTCCGTATTATGGGCACCAACCTTCTGCACCAAAAAAAGGGGCCCAGCCTCAGTTTATACAGATTTGATTCTTTTTTCTCTAATTAGCATGCTTCAGACCACATTTCATTTAAGTCCCTTCATTTGTACAAAAGGAGAAATAATTTCCTCTGTTTCCCTTATTGGGCTCTGCCCCTATAGCCCCCAGGGGGCTACACCTTCCATTTATACAAACTTGAGACACCTTTGTTCAAAGATGCTCCGGAACATATTTGGTCAAAATCCTTCCATTGATTTACCTATTTTCCCCCTACTTGGCCCTGCCCCTCTGCCCCCATGGGGGCCATAGCCTCTGTGTATACAAAATTGAGAACCCTTTGGCTAATGATGCTCCACACCAAATTTGGTCCCACTCCTTTGAGCCCTTCAGGCGAGCTAAAAAGTATTCTGCTCAAAGTAACAGACTGAAATTATACATGTATATTATTTTCCAAAGATGACAACATCCATGTATACAACAGCATGGTAACAAAATAAAGACCTTGGTGTAAATGTCATGCTGCTCAATCAACCTGGTTAAAACATCCCAGTTCTTAGTATATATTTGAGGCAAACATTAGATTGAGAAAATTATCATCCCATTAATACAATAACACTACACAGAACACATTGATCAATACACATGGGATAAAAGTGATGTCCTTTATCTAGGTATATGTTTATATATGCAAAAATAATAATTGAGTTTGATAATTTTGAACTTCCATGGGTCGGGACAAATATCATTTTAATTACAAGAATTCACAGTAAATCTGTTAATTGTTGACATTTTTACCTAATATGTCACAAAGAATTAAAGCAGAGTAAAAGAGAGTATGAATTTCAATGCAGAATATATTCTTAAATGTAAAATTAGATTTTTAAGGGGTTTTTTCCTCAAAAAGATATAGTCTTCAGGGAAAAATCTAAAAGCAAGACATGTATATCAAGTACCAGATATGAACTTAACTAAATTTACAAACCTTATCTCCTTCCCCTGAGTTGGGAGCTCCTGTTAAATCCATCTTTGTAACATCCCAATTCACTTTCAAACATGCTGTTTGGCCTTGTGGCACAAAATCCCATTCAACGGATGAAACTGAAAAAAAAATAATAGAATTATGTCAGTGTGACATTAAAGCCGCTCACCACTTTAAATTTATATATTTGCTTCAGTAACACGTTGAGCATCAGTATCTACTATAATACCTCAGATATGTCTTCTGTATTCTGCTAATTGAAAATCAGGTCATGTGATGATGTTGCCTTTGAAATTTCCAAAATCAATCACCTCTTAAATGATGCCTTAAAAACATTCTCCCTGTCCTCCTTTTTTTCACCCTCTTTAAGTGTGACGCATTGTTGTAATTTTCATTAATTAGCATTCTCCGGTGATGTGACATGAGCATTTACGTGCATAATGGCAATCGGTGAATGGATAATAAAGAATAGGTGCATTTTGTGCTTGTGAAATGAAGGATAAATAACAGTAGTGGGAAAACATGGATGGAGAAAAAGAGACATTGTACTCCCTTTATTTTTATTTATTTTTTTGATTCATAATAATAATAATTATTAATATATGTAGTGACTTTATTTACTGTCATTGAATATACAAAATCTCACAAATGTTCTTGGAATATATTTGAATATATTTCTCAATGCGACTTTACCAACGTAAGAGTTGTTTCCCTTACACCAGATTGGATAATATTTTGACACGGCGCGAATTATTGTCAAACAGCAGCGGCAGTTGTGTCATGTTCTTAAATTGTTACATTTTCATAAATAAATACACCAGAAAAAGCATTCTGTGTTACAGAAATGTTTGATAAGCATACACGGTTCACATATCGTCTCGTCTCAGAGCCACTACCGTTATCAACCTAAGCATGATATGTCATATTACGTTCCCGTTTGAAACATTAAAATAAAGGTTATACTTCATCACTCATACGGTTTATAAGTATATATATTTACTTCTTCCTTCTAAAGACAGTGTCAATGCTTGACAGTCTTCACATGTGCTTTCTCGAATCATATGTGTTTAACTTTCACACGCGTAAACCTCCTCATACCTCAATCCGAGTTGCTAAAACGCTCAAACCCAGTGCACAACCACCACAACACTCGCCGAATGCACCGGAGATAAACATTTTGTTTTCTGCAATTATTTAAAGTATCATGGATTATTATTTGGAGAAGAGTATCAGAAGACTTTAAGTAACCCAAAGGTGAGTGTCAGAGATTCTACTTTCTATTTACGATAACGAAACTATATAGCGGAAGCATGCACGACTGAATTATGCGCACGCAACCCGAATGGAAGTGGGTCTGTCATTTTGTTCTCTGGACAGAATCAATAAGCTGCTCGGCTCTCGCCAAGAGTGGCTTAAAAAGAACATTAATGAAGGTCCTAAAAGGACTCGAAGAAAGATTTCCAACTGTTTATAACAATTATGAATGCAGTCATAAATTAGGAAACTTATATATTATGGCACTGGCAACTTTTGAATATAAACAGTAATAATATGAGGAAAGCTTTTTAAAGTATTATTTGCAGGTTCATTAACACCACTTTCCAGCATACTTTAACTTGTTCCTCCCTGGGCATTTCTTGAAACTGCAAGAATGGAATTCTTGGAGGAATCAGTTTCTCTAGATCTGCAAGCAGTGTTTCGAGATTCGAGCACATCAGAAATAATTGTAAGCTTCAAATAATTTCTAATTCAAATCAGTTGTGTCTAGACGCCCCAATTTATCTTATCAACATACTGATCTTTGAGATTTTATTAGTAAAACCACCACAGTAGTAACTAAATACGGTTTGTATGAATACATACAGGAACCTGATCTAGAAATAAGGGACATATTCATAAGTCACTGTGACAATCAATTTACTGATAAATTGCGGAATTATGCATCATATGATTCAAGTCCAATAAAAGTATGATGTACAGTATTCACTTGCAAAGATTATTATAGGAGATTGAAATTTCCATTTCACAAATTGTTGTACAGCTTTGTAGCGGCCAATTTTGTGGAAAATTCAATATCTCTATAACTACTAAAATATCAGTGACAGAAAAATATGGGAGTTCAAATGTCCTCATATCACTCTTTCAATATTTCACAAATATCTCTTTACATATATATGCTTATGTTTGTATGTGGTTTAACATGCTTGTAACTTCTACTTGGTCATAGGTACATGTACCTTAAGTAAACACCACCAAAATGAAAGTGTATTTCTTCCAAATGAATGTTCTTTAAGCAGAAGACATGGAGGACCCCCCCCCCCCCCCCCCCCNAGAATAAGGAGAAGACACAGAGGAAACCCCCAGAATAAGGAGAAGACACAGAGGAAACCCCAAGAATAAGGAGAAGACACAGAGGAAACCCCCAGAAAAAGGGAGAAGACACAGAGGAAACCCCCAGAATTAGGAGAACCTACAGGGGATTCTTTATAAGTAATATAAGGAGGCCAGTAGATAGTCTAGTGGTAGGACGCCAGACTCATGACCGAAGGGTTGTGGGTTGGAGTCACTTCACGGCACTGTGTTGTATCTTTCAGCAAGATAAAAATGTACTTTACTCCGCTTGTTCCAGTCTACTCAGCTGTAAACTTGTTCCAGTCTACTCAGCTGTAAATGAGTATATGGTTGGGCAGTGCTAGAATTGTAGAATGCTAGCTGTGAGCGCCAAAATGGCAGCACCTATAACCACTGATAATAATTTGTGAACCGCTTTGAGACGACCTACGAAATAGGTTGTTGTGATAAAGCATTATATAAGAACCTCAAATTATCATTATTATTATTAATTTTAAGTAGAAATTTTCCTTACATCAACACTCGTAAGATGTGTAAAATAAATTTCTGTGTGTAACTTTTATTGTGTACAGGTATACAGTTGTACACAATCATGGATCACTGGTACAAACTTTAAATATGTGAACATTACACTTATAAGATAATCAAAAAACAGATAACACGCCTGAGGAGTGGTACTGAATAGGATTTATGCAAGTTACACAAATGTAAGGTGTATATACACGTCAACAGACACTTAATTTTAATAGTGAAACTTTTTATTTGAGATTTGTATTTTTTTTTCAGACAAGTCCTGAAAATTCTTTTCAAAATGTCCCATTACTAAGAGATATAGTTGGCTCCCAATGTGGGCAGTCCCAAAAGAAAAGAAGGAACTACACGGTGACCCAATTGTAAATGTCTGTCCAAAAACTAACGATCATGATCATCATTACGTCCCATACCAATACAATAATCTAGTGGTTATTCAGAATGTCTAAGTTTAAAATATAAAAATTATCAATCTGATGTATATATATGTCGGGTCTATGTTATGCAACAACACAAATTCTGTTGCCTGAACAAATTATTTCATATGATAATCTCAACATAGACTATTATTTTAGCATACACTTATGTACAATACAGTAACTGTTATACAAATTAAAGCCAAAACGGTACAAAAGACAGGTACGTACTGTACATACATTTACATTTTTTTGTTTTAAGACTTGCAAGGCATTAGCTTAATTACTGAATATATAGATAATTTTACACAATAAAACTTCAACATGTATGGAATTGTATATATTATGTACATATGATCATACATGTCATTTGAATATGAATTTCAATGTAAAGGACATTAATAGCATAGCATTTAAGCTGTATCTCAAATTTATGTATTTTACTGGATTTTAGTCTTACAAAAAACACCTCTGATTTAAATAAAGTTCTATAAATTTCTGAATGGTGTACTGCATGATTAAATCCATACTGACTAGTTATATAATTATCATGTGTATCTATATATATCATGTGTATCTATATATATCATGTGTATATAATTCTCACTTTAAATTTCATAAAATATATTCTAAAAACAGCATGTTTACTGCATTTGGTGAATATTATTCTGTCCTTGAGCCCAATTAAAGTGCCATTTCTTAATATAATAGAAAATCAGAATCACATGCTTATGAGATAAGGTGTATAAAGGAAGTATACCTATGAGCAACAGGTACACTTAGTTAGTACACCGATACAGCTCTGTGTCATAAAACGGGTCACGGGACTAAGCATTCTAATCACATGTCTGTTGATATAGGCGTACTACATAGTTCATCAATGTTGAAAGTGGTAGGTACGACAAACCAAAGCCAAGTACATAATACTTATCACATGACTGTACTACATACATACTTAATCAATTATGTACAAGAACATGTATATATACACAACAATCTAAAGCTAAGCTTGCTATGAATTTAATACTTCTTCAGAATGAAATACACTGAAGATTTAGATTGTTACATTTTCATTTACGAAACCAAATGTTCCGACTTTTTAAGTCTTTTTCACTACATTAGTATTAGTAGCATGAAAATCCGTTTCACTTCATCAATTAAGTCATTATTAGTGTATTTTATGGTATCATCTTGTGTTAGAAATCTGTATAGTTAGTGTATCACCGATGTCATCTTGTGTTATATATAGTGTATCATAGACATTATAATATCTTGTGTTCCAGGTATGGCCACATTGATGCTGTATGAAACTTTAAATGACATTACTGTTGACCTATTTGAGATATCTTGTTATTATCCAGACAGTATTGGCAAAATTGGTATTCATGATCATCCGCAGTATTAATATATTAAGGCTAAACAAGAGGCCTAGACCGGACGGTCACCTTTGCCCAAGGATGATCCTGGCCAAATTTGAATAAAATCCCTCCTATGGTACAGAATTCAAAGGAGAAGGATTTTAAAGATTTAAACCTCAAATTCCCTTTTTGAGCCCCGCCCCTCTGTACCCAAAGGGGCCACACCCATTGTTTATACAAAACTATGTCATCTTGGCCCAAGGCTGCTCATGATCAAGACCAAATTAGGATGAAATCCCTTAATCTCTATGGTAAAAGAAGGATTTTAAAGGTTTTACCTCTATTTCCCCTATTTGGACCCACCCCTCTGCCCGCAGGGGGGCCACACGTACAATTTATACAAATTTAGTCCCCTTGGCCTAAGGGTGCTCCAGACCAAATTTAGTCAAAATCTACTGGGCCGTTCAGGACAAGTAGTGTTTTAAAGGAAAAGTTGACGGACGGACAACGCCCCATTAAATAATATAAACTCACCAGTACTTTGGACCAGGTAAGCTAAAAGCTCTCTGGCCACTTACAATTGGGCACAATTTTTCTCTGGGCCTTTTCTTCACATGCCTATTTCTCTTGTGCTTTAATAATTTACCTTATCAAGTTGTTGAGCAAATTTGAAGTCAAAATTATTTTCCACTGCACATAAATACCTGCTCTACAACTGTATTGCGAAAATTCAGGAGTACAGGACTTATAACAACACAAAGTGACTGCAGGATATATTCTTGGTTTCCCAAAAATCCCCAAAAAGGAAGATAGAAAAGGAACCCCTTGATTCTGAACTAAAGGGATTATTCATGGGACACAGCAGGTCCTTATGTGACCATCAGGAACAATTTGAAACATCAAGATTTCTTGTAGATCCTGTATATATTTCATAAGACTGCATGACTGTAATTGTTAAGTGACAGAACACAAGAAGCAATAAGGCAACTTGCATATATTCAATTTGAAATAAAATAGAATAAAATATCACTCGCCAACTTTTTCAAATTTCCATGGGGGAGATTACACATGCTGAGAGTGAGAATCAAAAGCATTGATAGAATATTTTGTGTGTGCATATATACCTCCAGGTAAAAAATAACACTTCTAAATGGCATCTTTTCTGTTCTTTTTGATGAAATCATTAAATCTTAGAAACTAGGAGTAGTTTAGCAAATTCAATTGTTGAAAAAGCTCAATGTTCGGGTCCAAAATCGGGAGTCTCCCTCCAAAATAAGGAGGGTTAATTGGCAAGTATGAAATATTGGATTTAATGAGAAAAAAATGTTTTATGGTTTTGTAAATTCTAGTCTGCATGTTTAGACATTAAAACGACCCAGGAACATCTCAATGTTCTCATACAGGTACATGCAGTTGTTTTACTTTGAATTATTAGTTGTAATTTTCAACTTTTCTTAACGATTGGACCTTAGTTGTAGTTTGAAATAGCAAGAAATTTGAATATTCAAGGTGCGATTTATGGAAGTTTGACTGTAGTTGGTTCTGGAGAGAATTTGATTTTTGTATGTGCTTTTGTTAATGTTTAAATCCAATTAAAAATATGCTTCAAACCTTATTTCTTCTTTTTAACTTAATCTGGGTACCTTTTTCTTAACAGGAATATATATACGTCTAACTAAATAGTACTAATACACATGTATAAAAAATAACAGTTATCAAAGGATGAACTGTATATTCAACAAGCAAATTTGTGGAATTTATATTCCCCGCTTGCAGGACATATTGTACGTTAACATTATTGAGGTTAGGTTAAAACATATGAGTATCGTGCTGTTGAGACATAATGTATAGCTTGAAACTTGAAGAAAAAAAAAGCCCTATACCTCATTGATTATCCGTAAATGTGCATAAATTACATCGATTGGCAATCTCAGCATGAGTTGGATGTGCATTAGGAATTTGGTTGAAACATCTTAACAATATCTGCAGCAATTATCACACGAAAACCAAAGAGTGCCCGAGACGGGTGAAAAGACAGAGGAACACAAACATTGTTATCAAGTTGGAAGGAATTTGGCTGATATTTGCTAGAGTTATTAGTTAATATAGGGGCCATAACTCTGCCAAATGGAGTCCGATTAAAGTGGTTGTCAAACTTGGCCGAGCCCTTAAGCGTTGAACCCTGTTACTAAGTTTGAAGACAATTGGATAATATTTGGGAGAGTTATTGAACAGAAACGGCAGATAATGATGTTTTTCGTTATTCAAGGGGCCATAACTCTGACATATGGAGTCCGCTGAAAGTGGTCATTAAATTTGGCTGAGCCCATAAGGCATTTAACCCTGTGACCAATTCAAGTTTGAAGAAAATTGGTTAACATGTGTAGTAGTTATTGCATGGAAACGAAGTGCGGCAGATAATGACGTTTTTTCATTTTAAGGGCCCATAACTCTGCCAAATGGGGTTCGCTGAAAGTGGTCATCAAACTTAGCCGAGCCCTTAAGGCATTTAAACCTTTGACCAAGTTTGAAGAAAATCGGTTAATATTTGCTGTAGTTATTGCACAGAAACGAAGCGCGGCAGACACACAGACAGACAGACCCAAATAAATATCCCCCGTTTCGGTGAAAGCGGGGGAATCCGATAATAAGTATACAGTACTATTTGTGTGGGTGTTAGCTATAAAATACAGATTTAATTAGTCACACATGTACACCTGTAGAAAACTAAAATAACGTTACACCCTCTTCTCACATATTATGTCCATTATATCCATATCACAAGACATTTGTTTAGATATCCCAAAACATTCGCAATGACAATTCAATATTTACCAATAGAGAGACTCGATAGCAAAATGCATGCTATTCCAGTATACATGTAGGACCTCATCTTGACTGCTAGACCGCCGGTTCTATCTGCAACACAGTGAAATGATAAACAACCTAAATGGATATGAGCTGTCTGAAAATTATCAACAGCAAGTACTTTCGATATTTATACGTTTACAAAACATGAAAAATTCATAAACCAGTTTGAAACTAACTTACTGTTAAAGTATTCAGAAACGTAAGTAAAAGTGTTAGACTATACCTGTTTCTTCGACCAAACGCAATCACTTATTGACGAGCAGGCGGATGTCATATGACGATTTTGCATGTGACCTTCACATGTCAATACAAATTACGGAATCCGGAAGTGGAACGAAATAATACGGGTTCAATAAAATTGTACATTTTGAACTTAGTAAAGCATAATATATCTGTAACTTTGTACGAATTTTTAAACATATTGTTATAAATAAAATTGTATTGGTATTTATGCGTGAAAATATGTCCAAATATAAATTATTTGGTCGAAATAACCTTACGCTTCGTTCTTTTCCTGAACATATGTTTGAAAAGTATATTGATCCAGCTTGAATCCGAAAGTTACGGAATCTCTTGAGAGTGAAAATGAAACCAGCGATTGTTGCCGATGAGATGTTTCCTGAGGGAGCGGGGCCCTATATGGATATTGAGGAGGTAAGTATGTAGACTTATACAATTCATGTACTTACTTAGTTTATATTTCCAGAGTCTACACAATGGGTAACAGTGTTCCCCCTTAGTCCTTAGTACATAGGGTACATTGTACCCTATGATTAGTAATTGTGTGGGTACAGTCATCAAGCTGCGAACAGCTTGCCGAGGAGCGCAGCGATGAGGGTGGGTGGGTTTGGGAGGGGGACACCCCCCCTCCCATGGTAAGGGGGGTACGGGGGTACTCCCCCGGATTTTTTTTGAAATCTGGAAGCTCTGGTGTATTTTGAGGCTAAAAAACAGATTGGTACTTTGTCAAAAATTGTCGCTCTTAATCAGAATTTTGTTTTTGTAAACTGCACAGCCACATGACTGACATAAACTATATCAATTGTGCTTGAATTGGAAACTAATTTTGTATTACAAAATAACAAGGCATGTTAATGCAAACTTAATGTAAATTATTTTAAGTCTCATGCTTTACTATGAATTTTGTTAATTTATCAAGTGTCAATGCAAATTAATAACGAGTCATTTAATTCAGTGCAAACTTTTTTATAAGTCTCATGCATTAGTTTTATGATTTTGTTTCATCAAAAACATGGCATTTCAAAGCAAACCCTTTTTTTATAAGTGTGACATCAAACAGTAAACTGGAATGCATGTAACATATTTGTAGTGTACATATATGCTATGTATTATAAAGCAGTCAAACTTGCATGTATCATCAGATTGAACTTTGAAACTTAAAAACTACTTAAATTTTGCCCTTGCTGCCACACACATTTCATTTTCGTCATATTCTGGGCATTTGGTGGCACTTAGAATGGTCATTTTGTTGTTCAATGCCTCTTGACTCATTCTGTTCCTCTGAGATGTGTGTCATATTTTGCACGGAAAAAACACGTTCACAAGGTACACTTGTGACTGGTATTGTCAGAAATATTTCTGCCAAAAGGGTAAAGGGCTGGAAGATGTCCTTGAAATTTTTGTGCAAATTGAGGCAGAATTCCATAACAGATTGGTGCCTATTTGTGTTCATAAGGTATTTGTACTGAGTAAAGATTTGTCTTGCTTCATTTTTGTCAATTTGCACAAAAGCCCCAAGGACATCTTCAAGCTCTTGTGTGGCATGATTTCTGATGCCTTGTGCAGACTGAGGCAACAAGCTTGGATTGAGGACAGTGTTGAGGGAGTTAAGAGTGTTTAAATCGGTTTGATCAAAACGCTTGTCCAGCTCCTGGACAAGATTTGTCACAAATGACACCTGAACTCGCTTTATTCTGGGTTTTTTAATCTCATTCACAGACAAACCAATACCAGCAAATTTTCCAGAAGCGGTTACCTGGGTTATGATATCCTCAACACTGTCCACAAAATCTGCTTGTTGCCGAATATCGTCAAATTGGCTACGGAGGGACTGTACCATTTGCATTACCTGTGCAATGTCCAAGATATCTTTTTGGAAAAATTTGCTTGTGGTAGTTAGAGGAATAAGAATATCTTTCAAAAGTGCCACCAAAGCCAGGAAATCAAAGGATTTCACTTTCTTTAGTAGCCCTTTTGCCTTATTAGAAGTAATGGGGTATTTGTCACTTGCATCATGGTCTAATGCAAGCACAAGTGCTTACCATGACTCAAAAATTGCTTTAATAGCATCATTGAGACTTAGCCATCTAACACTTGAAGGCTTCTTAAATCGTCTCACATACAAGCTAAGCAGCTTTTGCATTTCTCTCAAACGGTTGTAACGTAGGGCAGAGTAGTGATAATAATTGAATATCTCTATGATAATTTTTTGTACATTTTGTAACTCTGGGATTGTTTTTGATGCCCAGAAGGAAACAAGAGCGAGCTTGTGAGCAGCGCACCACACATGTATCAAACTGGCTTTTACATCCTTAATTTGTTTTCCCACCCCACCCTTTTTCCCCATCATCACTGCAGCACCGTCAGTGCCAATCCCGGAGACCTTTGCCATTGGTATTCCACTCTCAGTTAGATAGGTATTTACTGCTTCAAATATGGTGTCTGCTTTCCCATCATTTACAATAACATTTTTGCTGAACTCAATTCTGACCGTTCCATTAAAAATTACTTTTGTATATACAACAAGCTTTTTTTGTATTGCAATGTCCAACGACTCGTCGAACATCAGTCCAATAAATGGACTGCACTGTACCCTTGACAGGTGGCTTTCCCTAGCAACTGATGCTAGTGCCCTCTGCATATCACTGCATGCATGGTGTGATGTATATATCCCCTTTTTGTTGGAAAAGGCAGATGCCCCATTCTGCAGTTGGAGGTGGATGAGGGCATCCATCTTATTGTCAGCTATGTTTTCTTTTGCCATAAACAGACATGTTCGGAGCTGTGCTGTAAGTGTGTCGCCCAACTTCTGATCCACAATCTGGAAGAAAATGTTAATCACGGATAACCAAAATGTGTATAATTAATTATTTGGACTGCTGCTAACAAATGAAGACTCGAGAGGAAACAAAACTAAATGTCAAGTAGAAGATTTAAAAATGATTTCAGGTCAACAACCAGTCACTATTTGAACAAGTGTTAGCAAACTAAAATTATTTTTAAAAAACGTACTAATTCTAAAAATGATATTTCATTTTATTTTGGGGGGGGGGATACATTTATTTTTATAAAAGAAATGTTATTTATTTATTTTCATAATATTTAGATTCTGTACGGTTTTGGCAGCAGTCATGTATCGTTGACCTGCAATTGTCCCAAGTGACACTTTGTGCTCCTTCGAAGTTTGGTGACATGTGAGGGCACTTCTTTGGTAGTTGCTACAACCAGCGACAAATATACTGTTGGCGTTGTCGGACTTGGACCCTCTGCTGGCGGCCTCCACACATACATGACAACGCAACACACCAACGCCTACCGAGTTTTTCTCCACCCTCAACCATGAAAACTCCTCGAGCCATGTGGTCTGCAATGTTTTCACCCGTCTAGATTTGGTGTTTTCATCTACATGACCCAATGATGAAGAAGAGGGCTGAGTTATCATAGCAGGGGAATGCTGCATGTTACTACTTAGTGAGCTTTGGGGTTTAAAACCAAAAAAAGAATCTAAAGTTTTCATCTTCTTAGGTTCTGGTTCATCTGAAGATGCCATTTTGTAAAATTCTGTGAAATGCCTATAAGAAATTTTAAAAGATTATTAATTTCCATGTCAGAAAAAAGGCGATAAATCTACATAAATTTAAAGTCTAAACTTGGAAGTTTGTTATAAATTATTTATATATTTATTGGTTACTGATCTTTTTGTTGAATTCAGCTTTTTATTTTATGTTATTTAATTAATAAAAAATAATAATAAAGAAGAAGGTCAAAGTGTCGTGATCATTGATCATATTTCATCAAAATCAAATATTTTTTGAGCTTTTTAATTAATGTATTGACAAATGTTACGATTGTTGTGTATTGTCAAATTTTGTATACATATATTTTTCCAATTTTGTAAAAATACCACAAAAAAAATCTTATATTTCAAAGGCACAGGCTCTTGTGCACAGACTGTAGAAAAATCTCTGTCTCTTATTTGCAAAACTAAAAATATACATATTTATATTGTAAAGATGAATACAATAACAATTTCCTAAAATAAATATCATATATTCAAAGACATATTTCAACATGCATACATACCTGTCAAAATATTTTCATGAGTGACCTCTATTTTCAAATTTCACCGCCACAGGCACTTTTCTCCGACAAAATCTGGATACCGATGTTCGGCTCTAATTTTATTATTCACGGATATTATTTCTCATTTTATTATTCACGTATAGGACTTATTGGGATGGAATACATTCACACAGACGCTTAAAATCACGAAAATTAGACACTAACAAAAAACAACAACACATTTGAAGGGACATTAGTAGTTTTTATTGATTAATTAATAACAGAAACTCTTCCGAGGGTTGGTCCCGTCCCGTCCGAAATTATGTCTACCATGTCGTAGTCTCGTTCACCCAAACTCTTGTGCCTGTGCAAGCTACGACGAACAGAGCGTCTGGTTGAACGAGATCCATCATAACGACAACATTATTCAGTGTTGGGAAATAGTCGCTGTTGACTGCTGGAAACACGCTTCTGATTGGCTTATTTTATATTTGGAGTACTAAATTTAGCGCACAGCGATCATGGTCGGTCGGTTGATGGATGAACCAATTATTTACCTCTCCTTTTCAGAGATTACGTCAGACAAGATCCATCTATCGTCAGAAATTGCAAACTATATATTGAGAAGCTAGAAATGACTATATTTTAATTTTTCTTTACCCATTTGAGGTCTTTTCTTTGCGTGCAACATACGTACAAATCCAAACTTTCATGCGTGATTTCCTAATTGTTTACGTGAATTACGTACATATCTACGTAATGGGGAACACTGGGTAATATATATATATAGTCGGTTGTAAAAGCCTTCCATAGGCTTGTGTTGCCTTGTTAACCATGTACAGACTTTTAAATAAAATTAACTTGAAATTGAAATGCATATGTCGTTAGCAGACCTATCGTTGTCTAAAACTAACAGACCCTGTAGGCTGTGCTGGAGCAGCACCGGTACCACCGGCAATTCTAGCAATAAATATGATTACGTACATCTATCATTCTATGTAACAGGAAAAA